TGTAAAGACGATCTATCGATTATCGATTGCCTTTATCTCTACTGGTAAATTGATTTTACCAAATATTTTGAATAAACAATAATGTAAAATGCATTTTTGTCTATTAGCTATCGATAAAACTGATACGAGGATTCATAAGAGTCCAGTGAGAAAAAGAAGGTTTAAATAGAAAAGGAAAAATACTATCCTTAACGATACGATGAAATGGAAAAGAGTAATCGCACTTTGAAAAAAAAACACACACACACTATATTTATGAACTCGCAAACTAGCAAACAAAACTTTCCTAAGAAAAATAATTTTCTAACTTTTTTTTCTACTTACAATAGTAAAGGGATAAATTTGAACGAGGAGATATATAAGGGTAAAAGAAACTTTTTCAAAGTGGATCTTACGATGTACTTAATAAAGATCTAAATTCCATTTCACTTGTAAATGAAACTCCATTAAAAAAAATATTAACGAAAAAGAGTAAATTACCACAACGATAAAATCATTAACAATTCTAATTCAAACTATCATTATAATTATTTATACAATCATATCCCATATAAATATTGTATCCAGTTGTTTATAGATTATTTCAGATTTTTCAGAATTAATAAAAATGTATGCATTAACGAATAATTAAATTCACCTTATTTAATTTAGTAATTCTTATTTTATTACTCAAAAGTAATTTGTGTTTTCAAGCATTGTTATAAACAAAAAAACTTATTTCAAGTATAAACACATAAAATAATGACGATCTTTCTAATGTAATAAATTAATTTTAGTATTAATGTTTATCGCGTTATTCTTATAGTATAACAATTAAATTATAAATCAATTATATTATCCAAGTTAGCATACAAATATCAATTATAAACAATCGTTAAATATAACAGAAACAATTGGAAATTTTCAAAACATAATGTACATAAGAATATAAACAAGATCATACAAAATAAAGTCAATAAAGAATGATGTAAATGAAATGATATTAAAATGAAAGAGATGGATGGATTTTAGACAAGGAAATCTAATATTATCATCCATACAAAATGTAAAAATAGCAATTATATAAGTATAAAATCAATCGGCAGTAAATGAAAAAAAAAAAAAAAAAATGACGATTATTAATTTAAAAACAATCTGTTTTTCCACATTAATTCAAATGGGTAATTAATCTTTAAAGTATGATGTACTTTATATATTTTATTTATTCGCATTTAAGACAAGAAAAAACGATTTATTTGTTATAAATTAAATATGAAAAACCAATTTAAAATGATAATATTAAAAAATGAATTCATTTCATTATATTGAAATCATCATTTCATTATAATCTTTCAAATTGATAACTTTTAATTGTAGGAAATTAATTTTCATTTTTTTTTTATACAAAATATTCCAAATTTTTCATCACAAGATAGTATTTATATTGTACAGATTTAATTATCTTCATTAATTACCTTCAATTAATTGGAAGAATATTAAAAAGTAAGTAAGAATTAAAATGCCGCTGATGTTACATTACGTAGTCGTGGTTATTTTACCGGATTCACGAATCTGGTACTGATAAATATATTTATTTAATTGATGAGAGTTGAAAAGGTCAAACGTATTCAATAGAATATATTTGTAGAATGATTTGAAGAAATGTTTATACGCTAGTGTTGAAAAAATAATACCTTTTGTATTTACTTAAGCGAGTTGTTGCATAAATTCAATGAAAGTTATACTTTATATTTAAGATTTTATTTACGTAGCTTAGCTGAGCATTAACAACAATGTTAAATTAAATAGTGAAATAAATCAAATATATAATAAATAATGATAATGATTATAACGCCAACAACGACAACGACGACGACAACGACGACGACAACGACGACGACGACGACGACGACGACGACGACGACGGTGGTGGTAGTGATGATGTTAACGACACAATTGACACATTCAATATATACAATTTTCCTAATAATTGAACTTTAAAGAATCTGTTAAGAGATGGCTTAACGAAAAAAACATAGATTAATTATGAAAATTACTTAATGTCGGTACCGGAGCAATTTTTTTCTCTCGCAAACTCGGTTAAGCATGTCTGAAGTTTTAAGGACTCTTAAAATTTCCAAAGTGCTTATTAGGTATACTTAGGGGATATTTGAAATGGAGCTTGCAGCAAGCTAGACTAAGAGTCAGATCAGACTCGCATGGAAGAGTTGTGTAAGTACATTCAGTGGATTGTGGTGCGCCGCATTTAAATGATCAACGGGGGATTTTATCACATCCTCGTTCAAGTCTCGTAACTATCTTCTTCTTAAAACCTCAACTGGCACTGAGAATATTCTATCCAGCAGTCAGCAACCATATTTTAAAAGCATACTTGTATTTATAACATTTATTGAATTTCCTCGGAACTCCGTAGCCATTATTGCATGATAAAGTAATAACATTTTGAATATCAAACTTCACTCGACTTTTCCTTTACTTTCATAGACAACTAATTTCAATGATGATTTGTCGTACACGTATGTTTATGAAAGAGCTACCCAATTAATGCAATTAGTACACTTCGTGATCTAATCGACATCCTCGTCTCATCGATCTAACAATAATCGATCGGATAATATGCTTATAAAGTGCTGTGTGACTATAAAATCCATACCTTAAAATACGATGCAGCTACTTTGATCACCAATGACATAAAATCTTTGCTAAATGTCTGTAATTATCTATTTAACTCGTATATACAACTAAATTTATGGAAAACTGTGAATTATATGTAGATATAAATCAATGGGAAATTGAAAAAAGTTTTCTATCATATGTTCATATATATATATATATATATATATAAGTTTTGACTTTCAAATTATAATTTATTGATTTGCAATAGCGAAACATTTAAAGTTTTTCATTCTATATTTTTTATTCTATATATTGAATTTAAAAAAGTTAATTTAATCTTTCAGTTGTCAAACTATTAGAGCTTTAGTAATAAAATAAAATTACCGATCCGCATTTGAATTTATGAAATGCCTAAGTGTATTTTTTAAAACATTTTAGTATCTTCTATGAAGTGTACTTTACACATTTTTGAAATTGTTTAGAGATCATAAACGATTCTGTTTCTCTGCGAACAATGAAAATAAAAAATAAATATCACGATGGTTATTCTATTTAAAATTTATAATTTAGATAATTAATAACTTATAGATAATTTCTGTATTGAAAATGCTCTAATTTAGTAAATTTACATAATAATAATACTTTCTTTTTTTTTATGATATTCGTACTACAGCAATTGAAGTATCGCATATAAAAATTTGAGTATTACTTTAATGTAATATCTTTAATCCTACTAGGATGAAATATTTTTATTTTCTTAAAAATACTCCTAATTATAAAAGAATGTAAATTTTACATTAACCATTAAACACATTTTAAAATATAATCACTAAGGAAAAGTACGGAATAGAAAAATAAGTGTTATAAACAATTCAAGTTTTATTTGTTACTTATGTTATAGGCTTCATTTAAAAAAAAATTTACATAAATACTTAAACTAATATAAATATTTATATTTAAATTCCTTAATCTGTTCCTAACAGTGAATCATATACATATTGATTTCATTGATATATAATATTAATTTGTATCATAATTTTAAATATCTTAATAAAGCAACCAATAAAAAAATTTTATTTATAAATCAAAAAATTAATTGAAACACCTTATTGATAAAAGTACCATAATTTTTTTTTCTTGTTAATTAATAAATCATATTTCGTGAAATTTATGAAAAAACAAGTAAAAAATTATTTCATCGAATGAATTTCTAATGCACTAATAAATATTCAATATATATATTTTTTTAATTGGTTCTCTATTTAATTCTTACAATATTTGCAAAATATTTAATATTGTTCATCACATAGAAAATTCTTTTACAGAAAAATATAAATATGAACATTACATGCAAATTATTATGTAAAGCACATTTACGTATATACACACTAAACTACTATGTACTCAAATTATGTATTTTATTCAAATCTATTTACGAGTACTCAATATTTATACTTCTTTTTAAAAAAATATAAACAATTATTTTCTAGTACTAGGACTTATTTATTTTATCGTTAATTTCAACAAAAATAATCATAATACAAATGATTACTAGTAAAACTATTTAAATATCTCTCAAATAATAATTGTTTATATATTTTTACATGTAAAACTTTAGTATAACTTTATGCATTGTAATTGTAAAAATAATGGTTTTTTTTAATGTTTTAAAATATTACTCTGTAAACTAAAACCTCGCGAGTATTGTCATGATCTGCATAAATGTATAATAGGAAATTTTGTGCAAATGCGTTATTTAAATTTTCAATAGAAAATATCTTTCATCCACCGAAAATGGAATGTGATTTTTATACTTTACTTAATAAGTAGATAAAATAATCTCTTATTTGTAATCCTATTCTTATACGATAGTAAACGTTTTAAAAGCCTGATTGCAAATTTTTTTTTTTTTTTTTTTTTTTTTTTTTTTTTTTTTTTTTTTTTTTTTTAATCAAGGGATACATGAATTATTTGGAATGAAAAACATAATATCTATTTAAAAATACTCTCACACGAGGAAAATGCTAATAATTTTGATTCAAAATATATTTTAATTGCTGTCTCTAAGTGTCTTGTTCAAAAAAAAAAAAAAAAAATAAATAAATAAATAAAATAAAATAAAATAAATAAATTAAAATAAAAGAATAATAGTAATATAGTTTAATAAAATAACATGTGAATAATTTATTTATCTAATGAATTAAATAATTTATCACGTTATCAGTCGAGAAACTGATACTCATTTTACATTTAACGGAAGTGAAATACTTTTATTATGTCCTAAACATGAGAAGACTTGAATTATAAATAGTATGCAAAGTTATGAAAATGTTAATAAAGTATAATAAAAACAATATATTTTCATAACTTAACATATGTATACAATGCAACAATTTCAGACATGTATTTAACAGCATTAATCCCTTGAATAAAACTTTCAAGGACTGTATGAAACGTACGTGAAATAATGAAAGGAACTTTAGTATCCTTTACATTCTTTGCTATACGTAGTATATCAAAAACGATCACATACATCTAATTTGATATTATCATCGATAGAAAAAATATCCTCAATCATACTCGTGCGAGGACTCCCTTTTACTAATAAGATTGTCTCTTTCCTCTTGAGTAGATGGCACTTCTGAAGAGATTGGCCTATTGACTTTTATAACCTTATTTACTTTACACAGACCTTCGGTCAAACCACTATTACCCGTAACACTAGAAAATACACTATGATAGTTATATTAAAATTAAAATGACTTCTGTAGATAAATCTCAAGAATATATTATTTCAACTTACACAACATCCGTTTCTTCGTCATCATCACCCTGAGCAAGTTCTTCAGCTGATAATGTAAAATAAGGATTTGCCGAGGCTGGTCTAAATTTATAACCGGTTAATACAAAAAATACATAAGTTGCCATTTCCCGGAACATTTCGTCTAACCACTCGTATTGGAAGGGTACGGTTATCTATATAAGTTAAACGTCATCAACACATTACTTATAAATAAATATTAAATAATAAGCCGTCACTTGTTAACAAAATTATTGTTATACCTTTAGTAGGTAGACTATGACGCGAGTAAAGTATATGTAGCAAACAATCATAATGTAAAAGTGCCTAAACAGCTTCAATTTACGTAAATTAGCAGCTGCTTTGCCATCCATGTGCGCTGCCTCTTGTAAATGCCTTATGCTCCAAACCACAGGGAACATTATAGCACCACAGCAAACTAAATCGACTAGAATAAACACATCGCGCCACCTTTTATGCTCAACGTCGCCCTCTTCACTTTCTTCAATTATGATTTCAGCAACGTTCGCCAGAACCTAAATAATAATTAATCATCAGCAATCTTGGCGACTTTTTAATGAACATTTATCTCACAATTTACTAAATAATTACCTGAAGTGGAATAACAATCATAAATAGTTTTTTATCTTTATCGGCTAAGATATGCTTGATAAATGTCCAGCCGGTGCCAACGAGAACAATTGTAATGAATAAGACCGCTCCTTTCAATAAATGCGTGATGTAATAAAGTATGGCCCATGCTGCCACGTGTTCACCTTTCGTTTGAATAAAATGAAAATTGATCCCATGAAATAATAAAGACAATGACTTTAAGTAAACGAGAACCGCCATAAGGTAATGAATCTTAAAGACCGGATGTCTATAAACAAAAAATACATTACTCGATACATAAATGCCAACTTATAAAGTAGATTTTTGGTGTTGAATAGAAACATATGCAACATACTTGCTTTTCTTTAAAATGAACACCCAAAAGCATCCTGAAAGAAAGAATAAAAGAGCCATCATGAAATACAATTCTGGCAAGGGCATTTCTCCTGCACTTAAAAAATTATCATTGTTTATTTCTTTAATTTCCATCTGAAAAATAAATACAGCGAAAATGTTTGATTTCAGCGACAAATGGTTGTAAATAATCGAGATTGTCTGCAATTCTTACCGAAAAATCTACTGCAACTCTGCGTCTATAATTTGGACAGTTATGGAAGTATAAATTATACAATCCCTCCTCTTTTTCATTGGCAACGTACATGGCAAAACTGGTATTGTAATACTTTTCACCCTTAATTTCTTTCATTGTCATTGGTAGTGTTTGCAAGCAGGTACTGGTTTCTTGAAACATCCCATCCAGCTTGAAATTATCCATCGAATTAACGATTTCTATTACAAAATTAAAAATTTACAAACGATTAGAGAAAGTAAAAAAAATTTTAATTATAAAATTATAATGCAGTATTTCTTTTTCTTAAAATCTCATTAGAGCATTAGCAATCAATTAGCATTAATTTTCGCGCAAATAAATATGAAAATTAATTATTTATATTTGACACTTGAACGACTAACTGCATCACTTGATTATTGATAATTTATTAAAAAATTATTTTTTATTAATGTATTCGTAAATGAAAATGAAGTTTGTCACGTGTAAGATCGAGGACAAGTCATGATATCTTTACAATTGCATAGCTGATTTCATCGCTTATTTTTAGAAATCCTTAGCACTTTTATTAATTTAGTTATAATATTCCCCTTCAAAATAACATACGATATGCAAAGTAAATTTAAGTTTCAAAATCAAAAATTAGGAAAATTTTATCGGTAAATGGTTTGTTGAGGAATGGAATATTCGAATGCCAGCATCAAATACCAATATATTCATTCCAGTCTAATATTAACTTCTCTAAGCTCTAAGAATAATTTTCTTACGCAGAAGATTCTATTTTAAGTTCTTCCGTATACATTTTATCGTAGGCACCAATTAAAAGTAGCACAACATTGAATAAGACACTGGATATAATAGTAGGTGCCGTGCACTTGAATAAAAGTCAAGCTCAAGCGATTGCAATTCTGCCAAATTTTCTATCCGCTTAATCACAATAATTATATTCTACTCGACGATTGTATGACAACTCTCTAGGTAAATACCGTTGGATTCGAACCAAAAGGATGTATTGTAGTTGAGCGTCGATTGCGATCAGTTTGTAGAATTTAATTATTTCTTAGCGTCATAATTATTTTAAAATTATTTTAAATCTGTACTCCTTTGTGTATACGTGTGTAAAATTTTGTTAAATACATTCTCTTCAATTTCGCATTAGAAATGGTAAATTAAGAAGTATAACGAATTAATTACCATGTGGAAACGAATCCCTTTTTGTTCTCGAAAACAATAAGCTATCGCTTAGCTTCGCTGGTAAATGCCGTTTATTCCGAGCCAGTCTTATAATACTTGAATTCTTATAAATGTGTACAGAATGTACATTACTGCTGCAATTTACCGTCAACCTAAAATTAAGACATTATAATTATTATGTAGAAAAGGCTTTTTCCATCGTGAAAAACATCAAGGTACATACTGCAAATGTTTCAAGTCAAATTTAAAATATATCACTGCGGTTTCATCTTTTTGCTCGTAATCTGATTTAGCATTGAATGTCTCTTGTAGAGGGCATTTATCGTGACTATCCAAATAAGGATTCATTGCATCGCTTAGCGTACGATCCAGACTAAAACCAAACTAATAAAAAAAAGTACATCTTAATTATACGATCATTTCATTAACAACCAGTCAAACTAATGCGCGCTTGGTATACAAATTTGTTATATAAACAGGACGAGTTATAAAATAATTAACCTACCACATCGTTATCATCGAAAGGTAGGGCTTTAAAATTAATCAAGTTTACACTCAATATCCCTTCTTTATAAAATCCAAAACTGCTCAACGATATAAAACGGCGGAAATCATTCTGTAAATCAATCATATAGTTACTTCACATATTAAAGACATGAGAAAAATATTTTTCAAGCTATGCTCAACAGCACAACAAACAACACAAACGTTAATACTGATAAATACATACCTTCAAGTCAAACTTATGTATCCTCGTAAATGCAGGGCCGATGAAAAAAACGGATAAAAAGCTAATGCCCAATATAAATTTGAATTTCATTTTCAAAGAACTAGAATATTCCCACGTATAAAAGCGTTTACATCACGGGCATTACAGTAAACACAATTGACGTCCTCGCAGATTCTGTTTTCTTCAACGCCTTGTTTCACCTTGCCAGCTGCCGATCTTTCTTCAATCAAATTTATCCCTACGTAATAGCTTGTCACTGCAATCTTTATCACAAATCCCACTCAAGGTCACTACCACTACTAATCAGCTACTAATTATTATTAACATGCACCCACGTACAAGCCAAACACATGGTCTTGTGGCTACAGCACGAGCATCTCTGGGCATCTGCGGCTGCGTGAAAGGTACCGTATCGTGTCCACAGCCCGTAGCTGGGGGGTCGGTGATTGTTCTTACGACTCTCAATTAAATTGCGACATAGCAACTCTCTCCAGACGCAATAAACGCGAGTAGAGTGTGTCCGCCTATAGAGTCAACAGTCAACGTATGCATATCAGATAGTGAAATTGCCGTAGTAGGGGTAATTAATAAATATCTCGATTAAAATGTCGAGAAGCTTCTGCCAATTGGCGCTTAGAGAAAGGCCTTCCGATCAAATGGTTATTTTGTAAGATGAGAAATGTATGGAAACAATGTAACTCGATTATTAGCAAATGACAAATTACGTGCGAGACTCTATGAAACTTCAAACCTGATATATCTAAAAGCCTTATATATACTCATCGCAATCATCTTTCTAAAATACCATGTAATTTATCGATTTCTTTCAATTATTATCATCATACTTGTATTGATTATTACTTTATTATACTCTATTATCATAAGTTAATAAAGCTATTAACTAATCTTTTTTGCGCGCGCGCGTGTGTGTTTGCGTGTGTGTTTGCGTGCGTGTGTAGCGCACGCGCGGATGCATGCATAATGTATGCGCCGTTGCGAATAATTGAAAAACTTATCCTTAACCAAAATAAATTTCAAAGTTTATCGACGATAGAAATCAAAATATTAATAGAATTGAACATTCCTTGAAACAAAACATAAAGCAAAATCAAAGAAAAAAAAAAAGTTAAAATATAATTATTTATTTATTTACTTATGATAAATATAGTCTGATATACTGCCATAATACGTCGATGAATAAACTTAGAAATGCCGTTATTTGAACATGAATTCTAAAATGTAACTAATAGATGCTACAATTTTAAAAACATTTTATTTTTAAAACTCGAAACGAAAAAAAGAATTTTAAACCAATTTAAAATTTCGAATTTCGAAGTAAAAATTTAACAACGTATTTTTCGAAAAAATCCGTTTGATAGAAAAAAAACTAAATGATAAATGTAACGATATATTACAGAATTAAAATTAAAGCACATATCCTGTATGTTATACGTTGTAAAAGAAATTTTATAATATATATTTTAAACTTTATGTGTCTCAGTACGTGTTTTGCGAATGGGCCTTAATTAAATGCTCTTGATGTTCGTTATCGAAGAATAAAATGAAATACAGTCGATAGGTAAAAAGTGCTTGTAGTTTAAAGTAATAAAAATATAATATTTATGATTAAACTCGATACTCCAGAAAAATCACTCTAAAAATTGATTGAAATGTCACTGCTGAAACACATTATCTAGTACAAATAAGTAACATTTTTTTCGTACGTTGAATTATTTATAAACTATGAAATTTTTATTTAAATCGATAGTAAAACAAATCGAATACCAAATAAATAATTATATGTTATTTATTTAAAAAATTTTGACTTCATAAGTAAACCAGAAACGATTTATCTATTATTTACACAAGTTTATTCATAAAATTCTATATAAATTATTATTATTTTACATTTGTTTAGGTGGTATTTGTACTCTTTCGAAATATATTTGATAATAGCTTTAGTGAAAAATTTATAGATAAATAATTTTTAATCTATCTTGAACTTTAATATTTATGTTAATGTTTCGTCAAACAAAAAGTAGTCAATAATTGATTGAGGTTATATTTATACTTTTATTTTAGAAATTATTTTTTGAATGTTATGGATAAACAAAACTTATTACCAAATTTTTTAAGTTCAAGTACTTATAAGCTTACAAAAGCTGCAAGCTTTTCCGAACTGTCAACGACAAAAAAAGTTGTTATTGAACAACAACAGCATTCAAAGGAATATGGAAATCTTATCAAACAATACAGCTGTGAGCAAATTTTTGATAAAAAATTGAATTCCAGGTATTAATATTTGTTTTTATTCAGGGCATTCTCAATTTTTCAATTATTTGAATTCTGATTTTTTTATTTAGTCTCGTAAAGGTATCCTGTAAATTGAAATCTGATAACGAAGAACATAATGGTACTTGGAATAGTACAGTATCGGTAGTGTCGTCGTTAGCAAATTTAGTACAAGGAGATGACATAAAAGTACCATTATCTATTGAAAGACAGTATTCTTCGTCTTCGAGTGAATATTTCGATCTTAAGGAGTCGAATATTAATTTTAAAAAAATTGATATAAGTAATAAAAATAATTTTTATGATTATGAAGAATCTATCAATGAAAATTGTAATAAGTCTAAATTTGAATTTAAAAGGCCAACGTTGATGATAAAAAAGTCTAGAGTCTTAAATGGCATTGATAATGTCATACATGACAATTACAATGTAAATAAGAATAATTTATCCGAATTACTTCAGAGAAATACTTGTAAAAATTCAAATCAGAATCAGAAAATCGATACTTCTAAATTAAAAGAAAAGCTCAGGTCATTAGTAGTCAGAAGACCAAAAGAAATAAATGACTTCAATTGGTTTTGGTTTTTCATATTTATTGTGCTAACGTCAATAACTTCATTATATTTAATAGTTCATTTCAATGGTGAAAATTTATCCTATGAATATTGCAATCCTCGCTTTAACTTTCATAATACATCGATCTATTTGAAAAATCATATACATGGTCAAGATACCGCGATTAACGAGCTTATAAAATACTTTGAAGAGAAAGAAAATAAAACTGGTTTGAATATTATAGGATTAATTGGTGGAACCGGTGTAGGAAAATCTTATGCTGCTGAAATAATTAAAAATAATGTAAAAGATACTTTCAATATTTTAGATGTATTTCGTCCATTTAATGAAAAAGTAAATCAAGCATATGCATCGCTATCGGTTTGTCAATGTAATTTAATAAAATTAGAAAATATAAAGACCGATGATATAATAGATTCTATAAATTTCATAAATTATCTAAATAAACAAGCCAACGACTATTGCATACTTATTTTAGCATTGTACAATACAGAAGTAGTTGATCATAATTTAAAAAGAACTTTAAATTTAAATAAATCATTGTCAGAAATAAGTGAGAATTTCCAAAAAAAAAACTTGCAATGTAAATTGTTAAGTTTCACAGCACTGGGCGATGATACTTTAATCAGATGTATAAAAGATGCAGCAGATTATAATAATATGGAATTGACAGATAAAAATATTGAATATATAAAAAATGATTTATTGAGAGCGGATAGTGGATGTAAAGGTGCTCATGCTAAAATACAAATTGTAGGAAAAGCTAAAAATGTCAACAAATTTTAATACATTTAATATTATTCATATAAAGTTGTATGTACTACTACTACACAATTAACATAAAAAGTAAATGATTTTATTATAACCCACTCTAACAATAAAATAGTCATATTAAAATTCTGAAATTAAATAGAAATGTACATAAGCATAAATGTACATTGTAGGTATCAATTTTCATGTTTAAATAAAAATACTGTTATTTGTATGCTTTAAAAATTTATGAATCGCTGATTTTAATATTAAACAAATATGAAAATTGTAAGTTTGATAACTGTGAAAGTAGAAATTTCAATCACCATACTGTGCTAAAAGACCTATGGATTTGTGCCGCACAGAACCTTAATATGATAATTCATTGCTTGGTGAAGAAAAAAATGGATAAAACGTGAACTATAATTGAAAATCGAGATAGTTTATAACAAAATTCATGTATTACTAATTACGTAAGATCAGATATATTTCACAATGTAAATTGGTATTATTAATTACGTTATATCATATGAACCTGAAATAACCATTATAATGTAATAAATTTAACAAACAATAGAATTTTCTAAATAAAAATAATTTAATACCAAATCAAGAGAATAATTCAAATTAATAAAATCATATTTATAACTTGATAAAATTAATAAAATTCATATATCAATTTAAAAGGAAGTGAAATTTGATGGTTATAATAGTAATTGGACAATTACTTCAAACACATTTGATCACAAACTTATAAAAATCCATCTTCTGTCTATTTCCGATAGATTCGTAAAATATTCTCATACAAATGAGTATTGTTAGGCTAATAGCTTTCGTTATTGCGAAGTAAAATAATGTTAAATTATTTAAAGTAATTCAGTGGCGCGCGTAATACTTACATTAACTGATCAGATATGTAATAAGTTTATGTTACAACGAGGTGAACAGTATAAGTAAATACAGCGAGCCACCGAGATAATTTGCTTCTACGGAGCGCCGATTACGTAGAATTGAGCAAATTACTTAGGCGGACAAGAGTTTTATGGTATGATATAATGTACATTTGAAATACGCTTCGTTGCAGTATAAATGCAATTTACTATTTTTAATTACATTTTTCATTGTGTATTTTGTATTGTGCATCGACTCGAACTTGGGTGGATCAACGTTTTGTATCATAATGATACTAAATGAGAAATGTTAAACTATAATAATACACATTGTTATAAAAAAAAAGTAAATTTCCTAGTTTTTATTACAATTTACTTTTACAAGGTGCCGCAATGCAATATTGTAATGGCCAAATTTTCATGTAAAAATCGTACTAAATAAAAAATATTGTAATTTGTTATAACACAATTGTTATACAAAAGTAAACAGTTACCTATTAAAAATAATGCTTGCCTCTCTTTTATCTGAGATGCTTTTCTAATTTAAGTAATTCCATAAATTCCTATCAGCACTGAGATTCATCGATTTGTACAATAAATATAAGATCTTATTATATTATACTTTTCTTTTTCTTTTCTTTTTTACTGATTTTGTACTAGATATTAGTAATAAAAAAAAAATTTTTTTTGACTATCGTCTTTTTTATTATTTCCATTTTATTATATTTCTTATTTATTAATTTAATAATCTATTAAAAATTAAGTTTACAAAGATACAAGTTCTCATATATAAACATGTGAAAATAATGAGTATGCAGAATTATTTAGAATTTTCTTTAATAATACTACATAAGCAATACGTAAAAACAGTTTGATATATTGGTAATCCATAAGAATACAATTAACATAAATAAATATAAATAAAAATAATAATATAATATTTATATAAATACAATACAATTACAAAAATTTACAAAAATTTTAAAGATATAATTTTATATATCTCGCTCGAATAGTAAATAGATTGTCTGGCTGGCAAATATTTATTGATAATTGAAATAATAATGCAAGTCTATGAAATATTTGTACCAAAATCTGTCGATTGAATATTCGGTTAAAAATGTCACAAATTAATTTATTTGAGTATAATGATAGTAAAAGATAAACAAAATCAATATTGATCAAAGTAGATGTATATCGATATAATTACAAATCAATAGAAAAATTTTTAAAAAGTCAATACCATAAAATGTAAAGCCAAAGCTTCGATTTCGAAATTCATTATAAAAAGATAAAAGTTTCGAAAATTAACATTTTACAGATACCAAAAAAAAAAAAAAAAATAAAAAAAAAATATATATATATATCACACAAATTATTTTTTATGATAAATATAAAAATTGTCAAGGAATTATAAATGTTATGTTTTCTAATAATTTAGAATACAATAATGTGTAATGTAGATAATATAGATAATACAATATAAAATCATTGTTTACACTCTGATTAAATGTTTTGTAAATGATAAATCGAATTCAGCTCTTTATTGTGCATTACATTCACTATAATTCAGTAAATAGAAATGCAATTGGAAAGTATTAACTTTGGTCTTGGAGAAGAAAAACATTGCCTAATATTTACTCATTGCGCATACGTAGATAGCTCGTACTATATGATT